AAACTCTATTTGCCAGGACACTGAAACAGTAGTTTAAATTAAGAGCATGTCTACTTCTATATTACCAAGAGATCATGATCAGGACAGACTGCTACACTACACTTTTTCTCACTCTTTTTATTACCATGTATGACCTAAAATTTGAAGACCATCACTAATTATAAGTTCCTACATTGAACTAGTTATATGGAGCCTTGATATCTATACCTGTTTCAATCACATTTTTCAAAGTGTGAAAATGCTCAGTTGTGACCATTTAAGTATTAATTTTGTCAAAACCATTTTACCTCTCTTATAGGCACTTTAAATAATTCAAACATTTTTCACAAAGTGCTCTGTTCGAGTAATAAGTTATTAAATGGAGAATTTCACTTTACTTTCTGTTAAAAAAGTAAAAGTATGCATTTTCATACTGTATGGCCCTTTGCATTTTTTTTCTAGCATTTATATATAAATGGTTTTATTCACTTTTGCTGTCGTCATACTTGGACACTCATTAGCATGCAGACTTCTTTTGGCCTCCTGTCACTTGACAGTAATTTTACATCATTTTAAGGTCCCTGTAGAATGCAACTGCCATGTTATTTCATCTCATAATGGTTTTATGAATGAGATAAAGAACACACCACAGTGTTGTAACAAGGGGTTATGGACACATTATCTACTTTTATGGATCCATTTATGAATTAATTTTATTTTATGAATAGTCCCCATATACTGTATTCATGAGTACGCTTAGTTTATAACACCTCATATATTCAAGCCAAAGCAGTTCCAAAGCATTTGCAATTGAGAAGAAGTTTTTTTTTTGTTCCTGTTGTTATCCATTTCCAAAAAATGCTTATGGATTTAACAGTGTTGGCGCTCCAAAGAACATTATCCCAAGTGGGTTAAATTGTGGTTCAAGGAGCAAATTAAACTGTAGAGTATAATAAAATAAACACCAGACCTGCAGACAGGAAATTTCCAGCTTCCCGCCTAAAGTGGAATTGCTTTGCCAGACCTGGATTCCCATAAGAAAATTGCCAGAGGAAAGTTTAAAATCAGGCTGTGAATATTGCTCCCTAAGCTTGGAAAGGATGGACTGCTCTGTGGCTCAAAGACATAGAATTCATTGCATAGTCAACACAAAGTAATGAGCACCCAGTTAAGGAACAGGGATTGTATAAGAACTCAATAGGTTTGAAAAGCCAGGGCTCAGTCTTTCTTTGAGCTCAGCAGCATTTTGTCCTACTGTATGTCATAGTTTGAATATAAGGACAAATGGGAGAATGTGTCCTAAGTGTATACGAGTCCAGCTGACTTGAGTATTATTGGACTATCGCAATTTAAAGTGCTAGGAAGGTGGGATGGTAAGGTGTTTCCTTGTCGGGCACCCACGCTGTTATGCTCCCACTCGGAGGAGGAGAGATTACGGTGGCCTCTGCTGGAAAGACATGATGCTGCATCTTGATGAAGCAGCAGGATGAAGACTCAAAATATTTGCTTCACATGCAGTTCTGGCCCTTTTGTGAAACAATGACTTGTTTTCCTGCATTGCTGGAGGCTGGCATTCCAATGATGATATGGCTGGTTCCTTGTGCCCTGAAAAACATGGACTTCTATTTCAATATCATTAGCGATTTAGCAAGAAAGTTGCCAAAATTAGCAGTTTATCTTCTTTTTGAAGCCTATTATTCTGCATGTGTGCTACATTAGACTTTGATATCATTTTCTGTGATATTTGTTTTCCAAGTAAAGTAAGTAAAATAAATTCCAAGGCATCTTTTCTGTGACTTTGAGCGAGGCGTCTATTTCCGATGTATGAGCCCTTCATTAAAGCATTTTGACTTGAGATTTGTGCTGTGCACCAGTCCACATTATTTCTTAACGTTTAGTTTGGAAAATTCTTTTCATTTTTTTTTTTTTGCCAGGTCAGTCTAGTTAACATTGCCAATAACAATCCAAGCAGAAAGAACAGCATTCCTGTAATAGGAAATGAGAGACAGGCATCAACACCTCCATTCCTGATTCATCATTATCTCTACATTTAGATATGGTTGTATAAAATGCTGGAATGTAGATTTGGGGAAAAAACTCCAAGTGGTCAGTTGATATACTGATTTTGATTCAACAGTTTTTGCAAATATTTTCTGTAACTGCTTAGCTGGATTGAAAACCTGTATTTTCACAGGTTTGTTTTCTTTATGGAATGCATATTCTTGTGTTTAAATTAATTGTACAGTCATTTTTGAAAGCCTTAATGGATTCCACAGGGTCCTGGGATAAAGTCCAGGCCAAATACATAGGTGCCATGAGAACACAAGACAGACCTGAGAGAGGGCAAACACAATTGTAGAGTATATCAATCTGATACTGTACATTCAGCAACTTAATTTTTACAGCAATTTCATTTTTAAAACCTGCTGTCCTCAATTTCTGTCCATCAGTCACATGATTTACAGAATTCAATAACATACAGTGAACATATTTTTCTTTGAAGTTTATCCTGTTCTGTCTTGTGTTTCACTAAAAAGAAGTGTTTAGATTTTGTCTTGTATATGAGGCTTCATAGCTTAGAATTTTGGACATTGTCTTTTTAATACCGACAGTAGCAGACCTAGTAATCTCTATACCTGCCACCCCTAGATTAAATCTATGGATTTTATACTCCTTGTGTGACATACTATAAATAATTATTGACATGTTGGTTACCCATTTTTGTACATCCTTTTGTAAATGACAGAGGTATTTTAATGAATGTCGTAAAACTAAGGGCCCAAGCATGTCCTGCAGTATTAATGCTTTTTAAGAACGAGTGCCCTGCAGTAATTATATTGAACCAATGCCCCATAAATACTTCCTGGAGGATGGACAGGTCTCCCATCTGATCCTGGTCAGTAAAGGACTGCTGATGTGTAGAAAAATAAGCTCTCAACAAACCAGTTGTAGCCATTTCAGTCTTGGCCCAAACTACATCTGAACTAACTATTCCACGGACATAAGTTTTAACTTGTAACAAATGCTGTTGTCTCTTGTGCCTTGTGTCTTTGTTATCTTTGTGGAATATTGTAGTAAAGCAGATGGCTGATAATCACTCTACAGTATGTGAATGGACACCCTAGAAAGATTGAAACTCCCTTAGAGGGCCACTGGGGAAATTGTTATGGGCAATTTCAGAGAAGAGCTTCGAACCCAAACTTTCCTAATAACATTCACATTGGCAGAAAACAAAGTATTTCTGTAGACAGACTGAAATAAACTATAAATACTTGAACAATAGTTTTTTTTATTTCAAATGTCTGTCTTCCATGCGTGTGAGCTCCTCTCTATCGTGTGTCTTCTGGGTCTGCCCTCATTCTGTTAAGTCCAGAGTCATACAATTCTGTCTGTTCTTCCCATGGTCTTAAATAAGGGCAAGACCTCCCCCCTTGCATTAATATAGAACTAAACATGTCCTCCTGAAAAAGACCTCTTATTTCTACATCGTTCCCAAGCTAGCAGCCTTTCTAAACTTTCCAGTATGAACGCACGAAACCACTGTTCACAAGTGCCTGAACAAAAGAATTGTCTGTTCTCTGTGTATTCAGTGCCCTCCTGAGTTCCTCCTTCACTTGTTTCTGACCCCTGAACTGAACTGTTAGGAGTCCACACAAGAAAGCTAGAATACGACCAAGCACTTGTTCTACTTGTGAAATAACAATATGGATTTCATGTATATAAAATGCATTTTTTATTAAGCTTGGCTTGGTCAAAAAATCCACTTGTAAAATATTATACTGTAGGTTAGACCTTGTCAGAGCTTTTATTGGAAATGTACCATTTCAGAAGGATAAGCCTCTGACTTGGCTGTGTTCGTTTTTCATATCATTAAGATATGTAGTAGTGACTTCATTTTTACTCCTTTTTACTTAATGTTCTGATGAAATAGATTAAAAAACATATCTCGGCTTAGTGATTTTTAGGGGGTAGGTTATTTTGATGTTTAAAATGTCCTTAAAAATCTCCTGTTCAATTAAAATAAAATGATAGCCTCTGCCCTTGGGATAAATCATCTCCTGGAGTCTTGCCAAAATGTGCCCCTTACAGTGTTTGCTGCTGACTGCTTTACTTTTCAGAAGTAAATAATCCCTGGATAATATAAAAATAAAATATTTGGAAATGCCCTTGATCCGAAACAAAAGATCAGATATCCTGTTTGTGGCCCTGTTTATGTAACAGACTTTTACAGCAAAAGTTACCAGGGCACAGTAATGAGAATGAGCCGGAAGGTAGTGGTTTTCTGGTCTACCTTTGTCATCTTCTAATAAACATTGCATTTTGTATTATCAGTAGCTTACAAGAAGCCATTATCCAGAGCAATGAGAACATTTGCAAAATAATCTAAAAATCAACTTCTGAATTAAATGTCTAAGAGTCTTGGATTGACAGTGTGAATCTGGAAGTAATATTTAATTGGAGTTAGATATTCCCAATTACGCACGAGGGCAGTTGATTAAATTGATTTGCTGAGCATTGAGTCAGATAGGTAAAATACAGGCCAGGCAGTGAGCTCCAAACTTTAACAAAGCTATCCTCTTTCATGTTTTTTTTTATTAGGAGGTTTCTGTGTTAATATGCTTATATTATCTTGTGTTAATATTCTGGAAATGTGTCATGTCTTTGTTTTCTTGATGTCTTCTTAACATCCTTCATTTTGTTAATTCTACCTTCATGTTTACTTCTTTGTACATGCATGTGGCAGATTCTCCTTTGTAGCGTATGTATCTTTATCTTCTTTGTTCTTACACCAGTAAAACATGACATGGATGGAATGATATTGCACCTTGCCTCTGTGATAGGAATTTCACATCTGAGTGTGAGATTGTGTCATGACAATACAGCTGTGTATCAGACGTCCAACACAGGAATTCCTGTGTCACAGAAGTGGATTAACAGATGTAGTATGACCAAAGATTCACTACAGCTTGTAATTAATGATTGAGGCCCACTGTAATGGGAATTATGTTTTTTTTTAACAGTTGCCTTTTGGGGAGATATAGCTTTAGATGAAGAGGACATGAAGCTCTTTCGTGTTGACGAGGCCAGTCTCTCAGCTAAGCTCTCGGCCGGAACTAGAGGACACACTTCAGGTGAGCTGCAACAGTAAGTGAAGTGCGGAGGGAAGCTTGAATCCTAGCTATAAAAATAACTGACCGTGACAGGGGTATCCCAAAGAGTAACACAAGGTTATCTGAGATCTGCCAGTTCTGGGTGGTCACAGCACCTTCCCCTGCAGTATGCCATACAGTACTTCTGTTAGTCAATAGTCTCTTTTTTACTGTAATAGAGACTGATTAAAAGCTGGCTATTCTAAATCAATGAGGAGAAGAAAAAGTTAAAGCAATTGATGACTGCAGATTTAAATAATGTATTACAGAAGAAAAGCAACTCAAGTGCTGTTAGACTATAGAGTATAGAGCAACACACCAAGAAACGTAGTGAAAGCTATTGAAAGTAAACTTATGAGTCATGTTTATGATATAAAGAAAGTGAATCAGTACTGCTGTTAAAATATACTGTATCCCCTGGACAGAGGTAGAGAGTTGCTTCCTATACTGTAGATGGAGGTGTATAAAAAACAGGAAGAATTCTCTTCTCCCCTTAAACACAAAGATAGAAAAAAAAAACTAATAGTCATTTTATAACATCATGTAGCCATAGTGTAGCTTTCCATCACTGTCACCGAGGAGTGTATGCAGCTGCCAGAATCCTTATACTTCACCATATTGAGGAGAGCTATAAACCTGGGCTCACTTGCAGAACTTCTCACCAATAATCAAATGCCAAATCCCAACTTACCAGGAATACTGTAGCTTCAAACTTGTGGTGTTATTTCCCTGTAAAGCTCTTAGCACTTGTGCATTTTATTATAGTGTTTTAGTGGTGCCCTAAATTAATTTAGACACAAGAAAAAGAGGTTAGAAGAGGTTAGTGAGGTTGGGGGGAAAGCAGTTGGGGGATATTAATTTGTTGTCAGTGCATTAAGAATATCATTGTGGTTTTTAAGGTTAGACTCTTTTGGAGTTAAAAGAGCTGGAAAGATTTGTTAGAATGGACTGCCAAAGCCAATTTGCTGATAGGGACTGGAGGGAGGCATTAGCATGAATTATATACTGGTAGAAACCATAAACACACACAGCTTGTTGCCAAATGTTTGGACCACTGAAAGAATGATCGTATATATAATAAATAATGAAGTGGCTACTTTAAGTAGAAGAGTGGAGTGACTTGTTTTTGAACCACTAAAAGACTCTTATCTGAAATCAAGTTTTTTAAACACAGAACATCTGAGTTTGCGTATTTGCACATTTTACAGTGTAATTTGTTACAATGTCATAAATTGTATATTTCTGAACATGATTCTATCCTTGTGTATTTTTCTCTACATTTTGTATAAAAGTTCTATTTTCATTTTGCCTAGCATCGCCTAAGAATTTGTCATGAGCAGATTTACCCCAATTTTATTTTTCATCAGAAGCTGGCGCTTCAGATAGACTTGGGATAGAATTACAAATGTAATCTCCACTCTGAGCATTGCGCCCCGAGATCCTGGGCACATTTCTGACTGAAACATGGCAGAGGTCAGCGTTTGAGTTGGGGACTCAAACCTGAATAACCCTCATTTTCATTCACACTTCACTCCCAGAGCCCAACTTGTTAGCTGCTCTTTCAAAAGCTGTTTGAACATCTTTCTCTTTGTTAAGCTTCTTGTTATTACAATTAACCTCCATGGAAAAGTGTTTGTGAGGCTGCTTGGCTCGGAGCTTATTGGAGCTGCTTTTCCTAAGAGTGTGAAGTCAAGACCGTGAGGTTTTCCATCACAAAAAAGATAGATGTAACAGACCTGTATCCCTCTGCACTTCATTTAACACTGTAGGCCAGACTTGCTAAGCTTTTAACCAAAAACAACTTTACAGAATATGCTGCATGTGGAAATATTTAAAACCTTATTGACTGCTTTCTGTATTTTGTTTTTGCAAAAAGCTTTTACAGTTTTTTTTTTATTCATTTTTAGCTTGTGAAACTTGGTATGGAGACATTCTGACTAAAGTCACATGTTGAGCACATATTCTATTGCATATGATAAAACATTGCAATTATTCTGCACAATTCAGACAGACTAAAATATACTGTTTTTCTAATACTGTAGTTCACTTGTGCTCTTTTCAAGGTCATAGATGTTTTATATCTACAATATAAACCAATCTCCAAGCTTGTCACTGCTGTTATTGTTGTTATTGTCAGTAGCAGTGATGCTATCTATTTCTTCTTCATTTCCTTGGATGAAGTTCTTACGAATGTTGGTTTTGGGCTGCAAGATTAACTTCTGGTCCCTCAAGGCACTTGCTTACTAGCAAGATTCCATATTTAATGTGTCTTTTCAGTCCCTTCAAATCTTCAGGTATTGAAACACCCCCCTAGACTACTTGCTCAGTAAGCTTTTGGGTTTTGTGGATTTGAAGATTTTTGGAAATGCAAAATGTCCAAATTATTTGAGAGGAATTATGCAAATATTACGCAATACTGTTTCAGAATTTGGAAATAAAGAAAGTGCAAAGGCATGGATGGCCTGAACATGATAAGCACTGTACCTGATCAATAGACGCATGCTTATGATATGTATATTATTGGTGCTTTACCTGTAAATGTATGTGTTTTCATTTTCAGGAGTTGCTCTTGTCAGTGCTGAGGAATCTCTCACATTGTGGTTTTTTTTTTTGTTTCTTTCTTGTTATCTTGATTTTTTCTTTCAGGTGGAGTTGGGGAGCAAAGCAGTCTTTCTAGCCAGAATTCCACTACACCTGCAAACCATAAAAGCAGAAAAGTTAAAAAGGGTAATGTGGTACCCCACCCAGAGCTTTGGGTATCTTTGATATTTTATTATTAAATGTTATCTGATGTTTGGCTGTTGCCGTGGTGTGTGTATGTGATCTGTGTTATTTACAGTGTCTAAACTACATCTATTAGGTGGTATCAGCAGTGGCCACAGGTAATAGTTGCTGTAAGTATTGATATTTTAGTATTAAGTATATTTTTAATACTTAGTATATTTTAAATAGTTTCCAGTGTAGAATACTAGTTGCATTATTACAACCTACTAGTCTGATCTTGTTAGGTCTCAATATCTGAACAAGGCTGGGACTAATTGAACTGGGACTAATTGAACTAAGTTCTGAACTAAGTTGTGGGATGGAAGACCTTCAGGGCTACCTGTGTTGCTGTTGTGGGTCTTGCAAATCTATGCCTTCAGCATGGAGTCTGAGGATGCTATACTGTGTAGGAAGTGCCCACCTTTGGATGAAATGTTGAACCGAGGCCCTGTGTCACTAAGCAGAAGCATATACATCTTAAGTGTGGTATCCCTGTGAAACTTCACTGAAGGCTTTCACACTCAGGCCTTCCTAAAGGTACCCTCTCAATCCGATAGTTGAAGCTGTTTTCACTCCTCTTCTCATCTGCTGTGACATGGGGCTGTTGGCACTTTAACGGCAGCAGCGTGTCCCCCAGCTGTGAATGTAAAACTCTTCGGGTCCTCGGGATGAAGAGAGATACATACTGTACATGCAAGGAGCTGTAGTGACTGCAGTTATTAGTTTTGTTTTTGTTTGTTTTTAACTGAAGTGGAAATGTCAAAAGGTGATTCAATTATTTCTTAAACCGTTTTATTTACACTGTAAAGACTTTTTTAAAGGGATTGTGTGCCTTAAATCAGTGGTGTCCAAGCACAATCCAAAAAGACCTCTGTGATTGCTGGTTTTCATTCCAGCTGGGCACTTAGTCACCTGTACTAATTGATGCATGTAATTGATCTGCTTGCTCACACTTTTTTTGTGCTCCCAGTGCTTGGTTTCAAAACTGCACTGGAGAACATGTAACTATTTCAGCATACAGAATGTTATGCAGTCTGTCCTCATCTTGGTACTTAAAAGTAAAACAAATAGATAAAAGGGGAAAATAATACAGGCTAAATGGGTGATCAGTTTATGCCAAAATGACACAGCTGAAAATAACAGTGTATCAGACAATCCACAAGGAGTTTTTTTCTTTCACTTTTGTCTGATTAGATACATTTCAGCTCACACCTGAATGATAGAAGTTTTAAAACTCAAAAATTGGCACACATTTGACCAGATCTCCCTACATAACAGTTTTGCAGAACTGTTTAACCCTTGTAAAATTCATTAGCGCCCAAACCAACAAAACTACTGCGCAATGAGAAGTGACCTGTCAAACACAGAAATCTGTTATTTTTATCACCATAATCACGTCACAACTTAAAAATCGACATATGTCTGAACTGTTTGATGATTAGCATGCTTTTTGAACAGACCCTTCTTAATTAATTGTATAGATCTCATACATCAGAAAGACCACCGAAACTAAAAATTATTCTGCAGCTAGGATCACACATTCTCCCTTCTCTTAACGACAGACTACTGTTCTTTTAAATTTTCTCCATTCATTGGAAGTTTCATTTCACACCTCTCTGCACCCATTCTGACTTCACACCTCTTGATTGGCCTCTCCCCTGCTCCCACCTCTCACTCGTCCTCCCTCCCAACCTTTGTTCTCCCGCTACTTTACCTTTGCCTACTGCCCTGTCTCTCTCACACCTGAAGAAGGCTCCACGGCCGAAACATTGTGTTCTCTTTCTTTTTTTTTCAGCATGGAATAAACCTATTACTTGTTCCTTTGCAGCCTACGCATGCTGACACAGCTACCCACCTGAATTGTATAGATAGGTTTGACATAATTGAAGAGTTTGTTGTGTCAAGAAGGAACTGTACAACAGTAGACTCATGTAGTTAAGTAGGGTTCTAAATTGATATTTTTTCTCTTCCTGTGTAACAGATGTGCAAAAAGAGGCCAGCTACACTTGTATCTTGAAATAATGTAGTATATATTTGACATCAGTCGTCACCAACTTTATATGATCCAAACCCTTTTCAAAATGTCTATAAAGAACTTATTTCATTAGCCCTGTAGTTTGAAGGCTTCAGACTAGCTGTTTTCTTTCCTAACACAGGCACACCTCTCTTCATAAACATCTATGGAAACACTTAGAGTAACAAACTTCAATGAACAACGTCTGTGCTTTCTGATATGCAAAAAAAACAGCGTTGTTTGTGAAGAAAGCAGGAGACATTAATCTACTGTTAACTTTGTTTTACTGAGTCTTCCTAACATTAAAAAGGTTGCCAGTCGTTATTCACATTTATAGGTTTTTCCAAGAAGTTCTCAGCTAATGAGGCTGAATCGATCAGTGTTAACAAGTCAAGGGCAGCTTATTTGTTTGTATCTCCAATACATTGCTGTTATGTGGTCTGGAAGGAGGTAAAATCAATGTGATTAAGTACCAGTTGTTTTGCATTTAAAAGATTGATGGCACCTCTAACACTAACACTTTTTAATGCAGCAGCTAGGCTGTTCTTTCTGAGGGGGTTATATACTGAACCTTTAGCGGGTATCTAGGGGCTTTTATTTTTGGAGACCTGGTTGCAAACAATTAGAAGCACTACATCATCCTCTTAGGCTATCCATCATTGCTCCCACACAGTGATTAGACTTACACAGACTAAAATTGCAAACAAGAAAGTATTTGTGAGGTCAGGTTCTTCCCATTTTCCACATGAGTCCTGGGAGGAGAAACAGTAAATAACCAACTGGTATCTTTGTGAAAGCAAAGCCACAAGGCAGAGAAGTTTAAATTTCCTTGACTAAAAAGAAACTGAGCTACAACAGGAAAGAATAAAGGATGCCAGGGGGATCATATTCCATTCTTGTCGTTAAAGTACATTTAGTGTTTAAGTACACATAACAGAGAAATTTTTGGACACCCTGATTTTAGTGATTGATGGGAATGGACAAGGGGTCTTACATGACTTCAGCAACACAAGGAGGATTTAAAAGAAATGAAAATGCCTCGTGTTGTAGCATGAATGACTATACCATTGTAAAACTGCCAATAAGAGATAGAAGTACAAGTACAAGTTTTTCTATATGTGCTTTTTACGTTGCTCAGTGGCTTCATGGTTCTCAGAAGCTGTGCACATATATATTTTTCACTCTATTAGTGGATTAAAATGTTATGATCCCAAGGGACACAAGAATATTTGTAGGAAATTTTTTTTTTGCAAAAGGGCTTATATTGGTTTGATTAAAGCTGAGCTACTGTAGATCTTCTGTTCAGTTCAGTTAAGCTTTCTCCACAGCTAAAATACTGTTCATGATTTAAAGACAGATAACTCATGATGACGTTCCTGTCATGTGCGTTTTATGGAAAACTGGAGAAAAAAATCCAGATGGTCATTTGGAATTGTTCTTCAAGGTTGGGCACAGTCTATAAATTATATTAATCTTAAAGTAATAATTTTATACGTATAGTACATTGCGGTGTTTTTTTTTTCATTATTTGTTATTGTTTTCATTGTGTAATGTTTTAAAAGAAGAACACCCTGGCGGTGGGTGGGCAGTTTAGAGTAGAGTTTATAGCCCTGAAGTCATGAAGTGGGTTGTGGGTTTGAGTCCCCTTCGCAGATAATGCTGTGTGTGCCCCAGATCAAGGTCCTCTGGCCCCACTCGTTGCTGTCCACCAAGCTGTACGAGTAACATCATTGCTGCGTTCCAGCATTACTGGATATAAATTGGATATAAAGCTCTGCACCACATCACCACGAGCCCCTTTTGTACAAGGGGGCACCTGCTCTCTGTTCACTGCACGCCATTGGAACTGATAACCTGCAAGGATGTACACACCTGTCTTGCCCTATAGATTCTGGATAAAGACAGTGTGCCCTCTGGAGTGGGGCAAATCTTCGTAGGCAAATTGTGCTAATTGGGAAAGAGGAACCCCTGTGGATAGAAGCGTTTAGTCTCTGATGTACTGATAGCACAGACCTTTCCGGTACTATGCTTCTGTTAAATTCTGACAGGAAGGATTTGCTTGCTCATGTTTCAGCTGTGGAGATCAATGAAAAGAGCTCTGTCAGCAGCGGCTTGTAATCATCTCTGTCAGAGACCCCCTCGTGTGCAAAATGAAAGCCCAGAGTGCTTGGGCTCAAATCGCTTTAATGAATCCCAGGGCATCGTTTTCAGGCTTGCTCCTGGCACATAATGGTACCGTCCTTTTCTGTTCTTACACAAAACTAATTGGCTTCGAAAGCTATTTTTTTTACCTTGTAAAGTAACTGGTTCAAGTTTACACGTACAATTGTGCAATTTTATCTTTCAGAGATTAAGTATTTTAAGTGATAATGTGGTTTTCAATTAAGCACTAAAGCATGTACAGTTGGGTCTTACCTGTGTCATTGATAAACTGCTTTTAAAAAACAGAACACATACAGTATGATGGTAAAACATTTTGACACACACTCTTTAGACACAGTAGTTGTTGTTTTTTTGCAAATCTGAGAATTATTTGTAGTTGCAGATTCATTAATAAATTAGAAATCCGTTAAATTGTTTTGTGTTTTCTGGTCTCCATTAAAAGAAATCGGACAGGTTAACATACTGTATGGTTGTGTTTAGCAGTTTTCTTGAAATGAAGCATTTTCAGTGATTGTTGAAGAGGATTGCAATGAATCTAAATTCCACATGTACAAATATTTGTGTTAGAAGACATTTCAGCATATATACAGAAGTGTTGTCTATGGTTTTTGGAAATGTTGGAAAGTATTTAGGACCACATGTGACTTGGAAGGAAGTGGGATGTCCAGGATAAGCAATACATGTCCAGGACAATTTAAAAATTTAACCCGAACTGTCAGAAGAACGTCCCTGGACAGTGCTGGATTATTCCCAGTGCTATTTATCTGCAGTAAGGATGTAGTTCATTAACTAAATGTAGTTGAACTACATTCTTCAAGGTCAAATTTGAACTCCTATTGGGTCAATGATGCAATATGGTCATTGGTGCAATGATCAATGCACCTGGTATTCAAACTGACATCTTCACTTGACCTTGTCCAGGTGTTCAGAGAAGGATTTTATTTCTAAATGAAATATGAATGTGATT